TCTGCCTGCTCTGCTCCCCGCTCTGGCTCTGGTGAATTCTCTCACCCTCCCGCGCTTCTGACTGTACCCAGTGCATGTATAAACAAAACAAACAAATATAATAAATAAATAAAAACATGCCTCTAAAAAAAAAAAAAAGTTAATATTTTATCAACATTTTTTTTTTTTTTAATCAACATTCTTTGAGCACTTGATACAATGTAGGCCACATGTATTATTTGATTTCCTCCTCACAACTATGATGCATTTTGTATTGTTATTGTTATTTGTATTTTACATAAATGGAAACTGAGGCATAGGTGATATAATTTCCCCAAGGGCACACAGCTACTAAGGCAGAGCTGGGACCTGATTATGGGTCTGTCTGATGCCAAAAACGTAACCAATACACTATAGGAACGTTTTAGAAGTCCCAGATAACAGGTTTGTTTTAAATGTAATGATAGGAAAAACTCTACGTCCTCTAAGGAATTAGCTAGCTTCGTCCTTTGTGATGAGAACTATGTAATTGAGCATTTCCCCCTTTTTTCTTTGGCTGTCAGGAAGCTCAAAGACAAATGCAGATCTCAACTAGAGTAACTATGTTGCTCTTTATTGCCTGTGATTTTGGATTTTCTTTTCCAGGATCTTGATTTTTCTAAATCCCTTAGGTCTGATTTATATTTTTATGTCTACTTCTTTACCTGAATTTTTGTTATAAATCATCTCAAATTCATCAAAATTTTTGGAATAATGAACTTAATATCTTTACCTCTTGGTTTTACCATAGTTTCAATTTACTGAGCAACCACCTCACCATAGCATCCTCTATTTTATCTAAAGAAGTAGTCACCAATTAGCAATTTGTTCCAGGTTCATAGGCTGTGTCTTTCCTTCTAAATATATTCTGTGGTTGTCCCTAACACTTATTTTAAAATTGCTGAAAAGAAAATTTCTAATTTATTAACCCAGTCTCAGTGTGTGGTTTGGTTTGCTTAATTTTAGACCTGCTTAGTAACATCCGTTTATAAATGAAATGTCAGTCATTTTCTGACCTTGATTCTCAAGGTATCAGATGAAGTCAGCATTACCGAAGGGAAGACCACCTATAAACAAATTTGCATTTGCCTACTAACACATAGGTGTAGAATTCTAATTTCACTTATTTGAAAAAAATGGAAAGTTTACTGACCCACTTTAAATCAGTGTTTCAGTAAAAGGCTACTGAGAAACCTAGCACCTAAGGATGATGTTTGGTTTCCATTAGGTTAGTAGTTATTACTCAAAGGAGAAATTGACATGCCATTACGATGTTTGGTTGTGGATTTTGACATAGGGATTGAGGAAACGCTGATGGATTGCGGTTATTCTAAGATTACGTGATGCCTCTTCCTTCTTGTATGACCTGGTCTCTTACACAACTTCCAGGCATTACCTCGGTGCCTGGGGCTCAGGAAGGTATGTAAGAGCAGGCCTCATTTATCCAAATGATAAAAGCATTTTGCATTAACGAAAGTCACCTAGGAGAGACTGCTCTTCAATCAAATCCCTCACATGAACAATATACTGTCCTATTTTAACCATTTAGACTAGATTTATTAAATATGTCCAACCAATTTTGGATTCTTGATTCCATCAGATAAAAATAGTCTGGTATAGACTGGATAGGGGCAACATCCCAAATCCCATAATAGATGAAAAAAAAAAAGTGACTCAAAGAAGCCCTTTATAGACTCAAAGAAGTCTGTATTGTGGAGAGCAGCCCACAAAAATTTAAAACCACCAGTAGGGCCTCTCTGGTGGCACAGTAGGTTGAGCACAGCACATTGAGCACAACGCTGTGAAGCTGTCTGCAGTCTCTGCAGCATGGGTTTGATTGCCAGCTGGCCAGGGAAATAACCACATAGTGTGGCAGACATCTGCTGTCTTGACTGCTCCTCCCCTCAGCAGTGTATTTCAGTCCATCTGCCTGTTCTGCTGCCTGCTCTGTCTCTGGTGAATCCTCTCACCCTCCTGCATATCTAGCCTGTGCCCCAGTTCTTGTACGCATGAATAAATAAATCTTTAAAAAAAAATAAAAAACCACCAATGGTGAAAAAGCAGAATAAATGTTGAAAAAAAGATTCTCTCTCAGAACTCACCAGCCCATTAACGGTAACTTTGTTAAAATATCTCCATTGCTAATCATTCCTTCACCAAAAGCAACAAATTTGCATTTCTCTGGGATCACATAGGTGTAGATTTCTAATTTTATTTATTTGAAATAAAACAGATAGTTATAAGCTTATGACGTGGGAAGTCTTCTTTCTAACTGAGATCATCAGAAGAGACCCACGAGATACATTGAAGGGAATCTGGGACAAGCAGCATTTTGATATACTGAGGCAGGAAGAGGGCATTTCAGAGATGACACTCTTACTCTTAACAAAAGGCACATAGGAATTAGCAGGATGGAGATCAAAACCATGAGCCCAGATCATGGAGCATGATGGGAAGTGAAACTAGAAAGAAAAGTAGAACTCAAACATCAATGCAGATGCTAAGGGGGTTGCATTTGTTCTGCACACACAGCTAATGGCACAAGAAAAGGTACGAGCAGGGCCATACAGTCAGAATCATTGTTTCTGGAATGTTGAAGATGGGAAAGGACAATCGGTAAGAGTAAAAGTGACTATAAAAACAGTCCAAGTGGGGGGCCTCCCTGGTGGCACAAGGGGTTAAGCACAGCAGTAAGAAGCTGTCCACAGCCTCTGCAGCACAAGTTTGATCCCTGCCAGACAGGGAGCTACCCACATGGTGCAGCAGACCTCTCCTGTCTCGCCCGCTGCTTCCCTCAGCAGTGTATTTCAGTCATTCTGCCTGTTCTGCTCCCCACTCTGTCTCTGGTGAATCCTCCCCCCCACCACCCCCACCACATCTCTGGCTTATACCCAGTTCTTGTAAGCATAATAAATAAATCTTTAAAAAAAAATAAACTGAAATAAAACAGTCCAAGTGAGTAAGAACCTGAGTTATGGAATGGCAAGGGCCTGAGATAGGGATCAGATGTGAAAAGCATGGCGACTTCTGAGATTGCTACCTGAATACATGTAGAGGAGGGCAGAAGAGCCCATAGTGATGCCATGTCTTCAAGTTAGATGATAAAATCAACCCCAAAATTAGGAAAAGCGGAAGCTGCATCTTATATCCTCTTCTGCCTGTGTCATCTTCACTAATCAGTTCATCTATCATCACCACCAAGATGCAGCTGCTCATGGCCTTTCTAACTGCTAGCCAGCATCTATCTAACTTTAGATATTTGCAACACTGGAAATTTAACTCAGGAATCTGGTTACCATAGTGATTGAGATTGGCATCAGCACGAGACTACTACCACCCAAGAGTTCGTCAGAGAAGCAGTGATCCGGAACACAGAGTGAGGAGACCTTGGTTGCCCTCTTCCCTTTACCCCACTGCCACTGTTTTGTCCACCAATGTTCCTTGAGCTGGATTCAACAGAACGCTAGCTGGCAAGGGAGTGTAAGGACGCTGCCTATTGGTTTAATCATCTGAGCTACAGAGTAGAGAAGGGCAAGAAGAAATGGATTGCAGGAGAAACAGGCACAAAATCTAGCAAACTTCTTATATACCCCAGATGTTGAATTAGATGAAACACTATTATGTTTCACATGAGATACCAGCTAAGAGGACTGGGAGCTGTTGTTCTTCTCATTGGAGTAGAAGGTAGAGAGGAGGTGGCAGGTAGCCAGCCACACCTGTAGCCACTGACCTTTCATCTTTGTCATCTTTATGCTATCTTTCTGAGAAGGAAATAGTCTCAGGGGCCTGAAATCAAAGTTTTGTCTCACTTAGAGGGAAAAAGACAGAGAGAGACATTCCCTTCTCTCTTTCCATCTTGTGCCCATTCATTCTTCTGCTTCTGGCCTGTTCTTATCATTCTATCCATCACCTTCCTTTTCTCTACCTCCATCACCTTTATTTTTTTTAAGATTTATTTATTTATGCATACAAGAACTGGGGTATAGGCCAGAGATGCAGGGGGGTGAGAGGACTCACCAGAGACAGAGTGGGGAGCAGAACAGGCAGACTAACTGAAATACACTGATGAGGGGAGCAGCGGGTAAGATAGGAGAGGTCTGCTGCACCATGTGGGTCACCTCCCTGCCTGGCCGGGGAATCGAACTCATGCTACAGTGGCTGCGCACAGCTTCATAAGTTGCATTTAACCCCTGCACCACCAGGGAGGCCCCACCATCACCTTTCTTTAATCACTTATCTCTATTTCCAATCCCTTCCTCCATTTATCTGTATCTCCCCAATGTTTCATCTTCATCTCACATCTGAAAAATTGCATGAGTTAAGAATATTGCTTGGTAACATGCCATGTGGCAGATACATTTCTACTAGTAAATCCCATGTCTTTGAACCTAGCTAACTAGTCCCCTGAACAGAGCAGACATTCAATAAAGCAGGTGTTGAATTCAATAAAATGTAACATACCTTCTCATCATTAATTTATTCATTTGTTTATTTGCTTATGTGGAGAGACCTTTGGTATGTCTGGAAAATGCCTCTATAACATCTAGACAGGGAATCTGATAAAGAAAGGAATTATCAAATGGGAAACCAAGGCATAAATATTATGTTAAACTTTTATTTCTCCACTAAGATAGAGCATAGTTTGTCTAGCAGTTTCACATATACCCATAAATAAACAATATCAGCACATAAGTAAAGTATCTTTATTTCACTCTTTGAAGAATGAAAAGATGACATAGTCTTTGAAAAATGTGAATTTCTGCCTATCCCATTTTTCCTTCAGAAGCAATATTAACCAGCATAAAGGGAAGATTTATCATTTTGACCTATTTTGAATGGAACATTAAACTAAATTACGTCATCTGAACCCACTCTGACACGCCAACGTAAGTGACCACAGAAGAAGCAAAGTCCTATAAAAAGAGAGACAATAGTGCTACACTTTATCCATCTTGCAGTTCATCCAGCACCAGTTCATCAGGATGGCTCCTGTGAAAACTTCATCTGTGGTGAGTACTGCACTAATGTGCAATGCACATTTTGATTCGATCTAGATGTTTCTGGACTACAGGCAAGAAATTTAAATTCTAACTATGCAGAGCCAAGAACACTGTTTATGTAGATGGGAAATGAAAGCTTTGGTATACATTTAATTGTGTAGTATTTTCAAGAACTGCTGTACATCAGTTTGAAAGATGAGATTAAAACTGAAAGATAGCTACATTGGAGCTAAACCACACAGAAGTGTCACGTGGTACAGCTCCGTACCAATGTTTACTGAAAATATGTTTTTCTGAGTACAAGAGATTTAATATAATTCTTCCACAGCATTTTTCTTTAGCACAAAATAATATAGGTTTCTAGTCTTGAGGATTTAGTATGTGGTAACAGTGACTTTCTTCCCATTATCCTATTATTATCCATAATCTTGGAATACCAAAGTTTTACTCCAATTAGATCTATAATTACATCTATAATTGGTTTAGAGTAAAGGGTCCTTATATTTTTTAACTATTTAACGTAAAGCATCGTTTTTGAAACCCAACCTAAGTACAGAATCAATATATGTAAATTTAGAAAAATTGGAAGATATACTTAACAAAAAGGGGATCCAGTTTTTACCTGAATATTCACCAGCAGTACCAATAGCATTTCTATGATGAATAGCATCACATGGACTTCCACATCCCTTTTGCTTCTAAGATACATACGTGACTTTACATAGGGTCTCACAGATTGTTAGAATAGAAGACAACAGTGCAAAAAGACATTTCCTCTTAGAAAAAAAGGTCACTGTTTTCCCAAAGACCTGATAATCATTCATGGACTAAGAGGATGAAGATTTACCACTTTTACTAAAATCACTACTGGTGAATGAATAATGTGTTTTTCTATGCAAATGGAAGAACATTCAAGACTGGTTAAAAAAAAAAAACCCTCCATGGTCTTAACAATATCTTGTTCATTTAACCAGTTTTTCCATTTCACTGGTCTCAAAATGTAATATAGATTGTCCTGGAACTTATAGAATGATTAGCAATGCAACTATCATCACAATTTCTTTATTTAAAAAACCACGTACTAATCCAATTTCCCACTCTTCTCTCCTTTTCCATTCAGTGTCAATCACTGCTGCTGCTGCTGTGCCTGGTAGCTATAATGAAGGCAGGAATTGCAATCCCACAAAGTCCAGGATGCCCAAATACTGAAGACAAGAAATTCCCTCAGCATGTGACCGTCAACCTAAACATCCTTAGCCGGAAAAAAAATTCCAATAGGCTTTCAGCTTACAACCACCGATCCACCTCACCTTGGGATTGGCAGTAAGTAAAGGCCCCAGATAGAATCTTTGATTCTACCTTCTATGCATCAGGCAGCTACCTCAAGGATGATGATACTCAGAATCATCAATCTGGATGATTGGCTGGGAGGGCCACTCTGCAGAACAATGACCTTCAAAATTTCATTCTACATACTTCTTTGATAGACTGCAGGACATGCCACCCCAGCACCCATAACACCTATCCAATTAGATCTCATTGTCACTGACACCAAAAACTAACCTAAATTAATGGTGGTCATCATTCTAATAGTGATGAGACCCCAAGTCAATTGTTCGCTTTTTAAAAACAGGTTTTTATCATAGGGAATTAGTACTTGAATTCTTTTCAATAGAGCTAACATTGAGAAGCTACCATTGTTGAAAATAATCAGGAATTACTTAATCTTCTCATGTTTTTTTTTTTTTTGGTCACATTAGCACAGGAAAAATACATCTTGAACCCTAGGGGAGAAGTATCATATTGGGTATCTCTACCCCTTTTTGAGTTAGTTGTGATCTATATCCCCAATAGACCCGTATTCGCTCTGTCCTTAGTACATACATTGTTTAAACCTCAGGAAGCATTAAATAAAAATATAAGCCCAGTTATGTGGAGTCCACAGAGTTATCTGACTGTAGGGTTTCTTCTCTTCTTCCCATTATTAAGAATAGCTCAAATAAATTCAAAGGTTAAAACAAAGCATTCACTCAACTGGAGAGAAAACAGAGAATGCTATATAGGGGCAGGGGCTTTGGTTTCTAGTCTTTTATAACAGTTCTGGCCTCTTCCATGAATATGCCCTCCGATAAAAATTTGATACAATCCCTGTTTCAAAGAATGGTGTCATTAAGTGAGATACTCTGTGAAATGATTCTTTGGTCTTTTCCAGCTATCAAATGTAACCTTAAAAAATTATCCATTATGTCAAACTTAAATCCCCTCATAAGGTTATCTCATTTTGTCCATTCTTCAAAGAAACTGGGGGGAAAAAATGATCATTTTCTTCTCTTTTAAAACATTTCACATGCTTAAAAATCCAAGTTTCCTTCAGACTAACAGTAGTTAGGGAATTTGCAATTCTGTAATTTGCCACCCAATGAACTTGCCTTCCTTCACTTATTGCTGTTTAATTTCCTTTCTGTTTTACCAGGAATTCACTTTCCTCTGCCTTTTGTCTCTTTGCAGCCGCAATGAGGACCCTGAGCGATTCCCCCCTCTGATCTGGGAGGCCAAGTGCCGCCATGATGGCTGCATCAACGCTGAAGGGAAGCAAGACTACCACATGAACTCCGTGGCCATCAAGCAGGAGATCCTGGTCCTGCGAAGGGAGCCCCGACATTGTCCCCACTCCTTCCAGCTGGAGAAGATGCTGGTGTCTGTGGGCTGCACCTGTGTGACCCCCATCGTCCATCACATGTCTTAAGAGTTTGGGGTCAGACCACAGCTCCCGGAAGCAGTTTCCGAGATGGAATCTGAAGCATGGTTCCATCTCCATAGGAGGAAATTTTGGACTGAGTAACAATTTCTTCTTCTTTGTTTTTCTAAGGGCTTTAAGTTATTTATGTATTTAATATTCCTTGATATAATTTTGGGCTCCATTTTAATGGATTAGCTGCCTTAATTTGTATTTTTTAAAGGAGACTCTAGACTTGGGGGATTTATTTATATTTATATTTATATGAGTTATTTATGGATCTATTTATTTAAGCCTGTAGAGGAAGGTTAAATAGCATGATTATCTGTTCTGCCTAGAGAAATCCTTAATAAGATTAAATGGCAGTTAAAAATTTCTGAATTTGTACTACATATTTATATGGGATTATTTCTTCTTGGACAGTTAGGGTTGCATAATATGAGTGAGAAGAAAGACTAAACCTAATTTCATATTTATTAACTAATTTTATTAGTTATTGAGGTTTCACATGAGAGACCGCTTAACTCCATTCTGTTAAACTCTTGTAATAAAAACAGTTTACAATAATAGCGTTTGGAGGAAAATTGTTTTTTATTCTTTCTCATTAATAATATTTCAACAGATTTAGCTCATCCCTATTTGACAGAGCTTGAAAATTCACATGGAAAACAATCCAATGAATGGCTTTGAATAATAGCCCCCAAGACCCTACCCCAAATTCAAGTTATCAATTTTACTTACTTTCAAGACTATAGAGGACTGAGACTCTCATACTATTTGCCAGTTCTCCGGACACAAGCATTCCAAAATTCATTAAGCAAATAAAAATAATGGCATTGGGGAGGTGGCATGTCATTATTAAAGATCACATAAGGAAAAGAAAAAAACACTCCCAAGAATCAAACCTGAGGTTTACCAAGAAGTGAGCAGTGTTGGGGTGTTGGTAGCAGACATTGTTTTTCATCTAGAATGCCCAGTCTCTCCCAAACTCAGACTTCTTTTGAAGATTAATGCCAACCAGAAATTACCACAGGAACACTTTCTTTTCCTCAGGCCCACTAGTAACACGACCCCTTGAGCTGTCAGCCTCTGACCCAATATACCATATAACATAGAAACAAGCCATTGGACAAAACAAACTGGAAGTGTGAGAAAGGTTTAGCCAAGTAAAATAAAAACTGAATCACATTCAATTCCAGAGTAGCTTCTTGTTTTGAATCATCACCATTTTCCCTCACCTTTGTCCAGCATGTTATCTTGTTTCATTTCCTGCAGCCATGGAAATTCTGAGCCTGGTCGCACAGGTTCCCTGCCCACCTTCAGCCTCCAGTTGCTTGATCCCCACCAAAGACTTCTGCTCCAAATCCAGATCCAGGGACAGACTTCTCTAGTCTTCTCCTTTCAGGGCTGTTTTGTTGTTTACATGGCTGATTCTCATGGCCAACTGCTGTCATGACTTCATATAGAAACCCAAAGGCATAAAGACAGTTTTTCAGTCTTGAGTCTTTAAAATCTCTCAGTAAAATCTACCTGCTCATTTTTCACTTTCCATTGAATGATGGTGGTTTAAAAACAAACAAACAAAAAAACCCTGATTTTTTGGGGGGGGAATGGCAAGAAGGGGGACATATAACCCAAGTCCAGAATCATTATTTCCCACTAGATTGTTTTCCTGGGAGCTTTGTGTGGGAGGAGAGGCAGCTGGCATCCCTATCCCCTGCCCCTGATCAGCAGTGACCTTATCTTATCTTCGTTTTCCGCAGTCAGCACCAACATCTACCCAGTCCACTACCCTGGAAATCTGCTAGGCATTGACTGACTCTTCCTCTCTGTCACTCCTGACACCCACATGTCACCAAACTTGTTGCGTCACCTTCTCAAAGTTCCCAAATGAACCCCCTCCTTGGCCTGGCTCCAGTATTCATCTCTTCTCATTTCTTGTCTCAGTGATTCCTCAGTATCTTACCTTTCTTTGCTGCTGTGGCTCCATCCCCTCAGCACTCCTCCAACATCTACCTGTAGCACAAATCAAACATAACAGAAAACACCTCTGGCCCTGTTGTTCCTTTAAAAAAAAAAAAATAATAATTTATTTATTTATTTACGTACAAGAACTGGGGTATAGGCCAGAGGTGCGGGGGGGGGGGGGTGGGAGGATTCACCAGAGACAGAGCGGGGAACAGAACAGACAGACTGACTGAAATACACTGCTGAGGGGAGCAGCAGGCGAGAAAGGAGAGGTCTGCTGCACCATGTGGGTTGCTCCCTGGCCGGAGGATCGAACTGTCAGTGGCTGCAGATAGCTTCATAGGTTGCGTCTTAACCCTTTGTGCCACCAGGGAGGACTTGCTCCTCCTTTTTATCTCTGCCACTTCCTTCTTGATATTTTAGCCTCCAGGTCCTTATTGTGTAGGCCCTTATTGTGTGATCACCACACTGCTCGACCTCAGAGCCTCTGGTATGTGATGCCCTTTACTTTCAATGTTCTCACCACCTTTTCCTCCTGTTCCTCTCTTCATACACTGATGGATGAAAGTTTTTGTCCTCCCCCAAATACGCATGTTGAAACCTAGCCCCCAAAATAATGGGATTAGGGGGAAGAGCCTTTTTAAGATTAGCATTGGTGCCTTTATGAACGATACCCGAGAGAGCTCCCTTGTCCCTTCTGCCTTGTGAGAAGTCTTTAACTCAAAAGAGAGCCCTACCCAAACTTGATCTTGAACTTTCAGCCTTCAGAACTGTAAGAAATAAATTGATTATTGGAAGCCACCCAGTCTACAGTATTTTGTTATAGCCACTCTGCCTACCCTACTCAGGCTATAAGACCTCACTTAGTTATCTCATCTAAAAAGCCTCCCCTTGGCCTCCCCTGGTGGCGCAGTGGTTGAGCGCTGGGCTGCAAAGCTGCCTGCAGCCTCTGCAGTGCTGTTTTGATCCCCGGCTGCCAGGTGAGGGTCCCATATGGCGTGACAGACCTCTCTTGCTATGCCCGCTGCTCCCCTCAGCTGTGTATTTCGTCAGTATGCCTGTTCTGTTCCCCGCTTTGGCTCTGGTGAATTCTCTCACCCACCCACACTTCTGACTGTACCCAGTGCTTATAAATCTTAAAAAAAAATAGTATTAGGATCAACATGGCGGCAAGGAAACAAAGCGAGTAAGATCTCCCATTAAAAAAAGTTAATAGGGAGGAAAAGCGGCAGGTCCCAGCGAGAACTGGGACACGGAAGATAAACAGACGACTCCAGCAAACTACCCAAAGAAGAAAGTTGCCATAAAAGAGGACTAGAAGGGAGGAAAGCTCAGAACCCTGCTACCCATCCCCAACCACAAAGTTGGCACTCTCCGACCAACAGAAAGGAGGAAAAAAGAAAAAAAACTAAAACAACCAACAAAAACAAACTACATATCAAGCAGGACTGTGAATGGAAAGGAACTATTTCAGCCACCACACCCCATGAAATGGAGCTGTGGAGAACCCTGCAGGATTCACTGCGGAGGTGAGAGAATGGCTCCAGGAGCCATTAGAGAAAAACAAAGACTCCCAGAGACCTACAAACAGCCCCAGGCCTGCCGGTAAGCTTGTGCGGGAAAGAGGCATGCTTGAAAAGCAAAGGTGGGTCGCGGTTGCCCAGGTCCCCGCGCCTGCAATCTAGGCTTGCGGGGAGATGCGCGGGGGCCCTCACTGAGGTGAATGTCCCTCACTGAGTAATCAGAAACCAGGCACCCGGACACGGGAGTGGGGTACAAAAAGAGCCATTTCTGTGGACACTGAACAGGGCTACAGCCCACATCCTGGATCTGAGGGCTTTGGAACTGAGACCCGGGGCACGAAATTCAGGACGTGGGTTCCCCACAATGGTGGGGCACAAGGCAGACAAAGCACCCCAAAGCCGGTGAGGCTTTCCCCACCACTCCCACTCTGTTCCCCGCCCCACGGGGTGAAAAAAAAAACAGTTCCCCAAGGACACTAGTAGAGATCTCTGGCACCACCTAGTGACCAGGAAAAAAATCACCAACACCCCATAGAATAGGGACCTTTCTTCAGTAAAGACTGCTTGAAAGGGGCAGAAGGCTCCCGGAGGAGCCACTGGTGAGCTGGGAAGTTCGCCCACGCCAGGCCCCTCCTGACCAGCAGTCTGATCCCAGAGAGGGAGCGGGGACCCACGGCCGGGGCAGACCGGGTGCGCAGAAGAGTGTGCCTGTCTCTGAATCGCCATTTTAGAATAGGGACCTTTCTTCAGTAAAGACTGCTTGAAATTGGCAGAAGGCTTCCAGAGGAGCCAAAGGTGAGCTGGGAAGTTCGCCCACACCAGGCCCCTTCTGGCCTGCAGTCCCAGCCCAGAGGGGGAGTGGGAACCCACCGCTGGGGCAGACCAGGCGCCCAGGGAGTGCGTCCCGCATTACCATTTTAGAACAGGGACATTTCTTCAGTAAAGACTGCCTGAAACCAGCAGAAAGCTCCTGGAGGAGCCAGAGGTGAGCAGGGAAGTTCGCCCATGCCAGGCCCCTTCTGGCCTGCAGTCCCAGCCCAGAGGGGGAACGGGAACCTACCGCCAGGGCAGACCAGGCATGCAGGGGAGTGTGTCCCCACATCGGCATTTTAGAACAGGGACCTTTCTTCAGTAAAGACTGCTTGAAACCGACAGAAAGCTCCTGGAGGAGCCAGAGGGGAACGGAGAAGTTCACCCAAGATGCTGGCCAGTTCCAGCAACACAGTGTCCCAGTACATATGGCAAATTAGAAAACAGACAGTAGGGAGTAGAAGAACCACACGCAACCTAGCAACTCCTCAGGAAAAAAGCACAACACAAAAAGAAAACCACCCCCCAGATTGCAACGACAGTAACTTGGAAGAACTTCTGAGCCTTCCAGAAAGAGAATTTAAAATTGCCATGATTAAAAAACTGACAGAAGTCATAAAGGAAAACAATGATAAGGGGAAAATAATCAACAATCAGAAGAATGAAATTGAGTCCCTAAAAAGGGAAGTAAAAGAAATGCATGAGATC